CCTTCGATGTGCCCAGTCTACGTTTTTAGGTGACAAAACAGCGTGGACACAGCTGCCGTCCTCGACCCTGCCGTGGGGCAAGGGCCGTCGGGAGCGTGCCTGCTTCCAGGCTGCTCCCCAACGCTGCGTGTACATCCGAGCGGACGGGGCGCACTCCACGGCATTTTCAGTAGCATCTCTGGTTTACCCGCGGATGCCCGATGCTTCCCTCTCGCTGTCCTTCCCGCTGCTGAGTCCCGGCCCAGTCCAGCCTGAGCCCAGCCTGCACCCAGCCCGTCCCCCGGGTCGTCTGCACATCCCCGAGGACCGGTGACCTGGGTGGTGACCTGACCGCGAGCACTGGGGCAGCTCGAGGGCACAGGAGGTCCAGGCATCGAGGAGGGCTGTGGGTGCCGCGTCTGCCCACAGGCTCGGGGCTCCGGCTGCAGCCACTGTCTTCAGGGTCCTTGAGTCCAACCAGGGACTGGGGGCTCAGGCCCAGGCAGGGAGAGACCTCCTAAATCTACAGCGGACCGCGGGCCTGGGTCCCAGGGAGAGGACGCAGGACGCTGCCTCTGGAGATTTACCTCTGAGGTCGGGGCTGTGCTCCCGTAAGTGTGGCCCTTCTCGGCCTCGGGGGCCACGTCGATCAGGACGGTACTGTCCTCCTCCGGGGACTGTCTCCGCAGCATCCCACTCCTGCACCTCACAGCACCGGGGTGGGGACGGGGCAGAGCGGTTACATGAGGCTCGGTCCCCATACCACTGCGCGGCCACGTGAACCCACTTCACAGGCAAGGGCACAGGCTGGGGCAGGCGCCAGGGCCGGCGCCAGGCTGCACTGTCCCTCCTGAGAGCACAGGCAGGTTCCCCAGGGGCCGACCAGGGAGGAGGAGGGAGGGGGCAGGGGCCTGGCCCAGCAGCTGTCCGTCTGTGCACCTGTCCAGCGTGTGCCTCCCTCCCTCCCAGCAATGCCCGGGGTGGTGGGGGCCGGAGGAGGCCCAGTGGGGTGGGCTCAGCTCTGCTCCCCAGCAGGAGGAGTGGGTGATACCCTTTAATAGACTCGAGGCCTCAGCTCCTCCCGGTGGCGGGGGGTGGGGAGGGTCCTGGACCCGTTGGGGAGGCTGGCCCGGCCACGCTGACCCTGTGTGTTCCCCATCTGGCCTCAGGACCCCTCCGTGGGGAGGACAGATGCCACTCTCCCAGTTGACAGGCTGGCAAAGAACAAGAGGAACCCTGTGGCCCAGAAGGGGTGGTTTTGAGTGGGGCCAGCCATCCGCCCCAGCGCAGGTGAGGCACTGACGGCCACCACCAGGCCCACGGAGGCGGGGAGGGCGGAGGTGGAGAAGCCGTGGGGGCCTTTGGGGAGAGCTCGTCTAGGCCACATAACCTGGGGGAGGCGGAGGTGTGAGCCCGGAGTCTTTGAGGTGCCAGACGGCCCTGAGCCAGGGCCTGGCATTGTGACAGTGGGGGCCACGAGGCCCTCCTGGAGGAGAAGTCTCAGGGATCTTAAGCCAGCTGGCAGCCTTCCCCACTGTGGTGAGCGCTCGGTGCAGAGAGGACGGGGGATGAGGCCACAGCAGTGACCTCCTCCGTGGTGGCTCCACTGGCTGTCCCTCCGATTGGAGGCGCCCTGCCCAGAGCCACACCGAGCCTTGGCTCTTCTCACCCCCGAGGCCTGGGCAGGCCTCTGGGTAGCAGGGGGACCTTGGAGCTTAACCCGTAGTTCAGGGCATTTGGAGCCCTGATGGCCCGGGGGTGCTCACCCAGCCTCCCTGGAGTCCCTCTCCCCCCTCCTCCCCATGGCCCTTGCATCAGAAAAGGCTCCCACCTGGGACGGCGGCTTCCAGAAGAGGCCTCCGAGGTCATGGCCAGCTTTTCAGCACAAGCCTGGTCTGGGCAGCTGAGTCCAGGCCAGTCCCATAGGCAGAGAACTGGGAGGGACCCTGCCCGGCGCGGGGGTGGGCGATGGCCACTCACATGTCCTCCCCTCGCCTGGCAAATGGGCCCGGAAGCAGAGTGGCTGGGGCAAGTTACCCCTCCCCACCCCCCCAGCTCCTGGAATGGGATCTGCCTTTGTTTGAAGAGGGGGTGTGGGGCTCTGAGTCTGCAAACAGAGGCAGCCTATTTTCCTAGGGCCCTCACCCAGCGCACATGCAAAGGCCACTGTGCTCCCCTTTGTACTCAGGGATGCCAGGGCCCGTGTCAGCTGTCGGGCCCTGTGGGACATTAGGGAGAGGTGGCATCCGGCGGGGGTGGCCACAGATGCGGGCTGTCGTCTCTGCCTGGCAGGGTGCCCGTGTGGGACATGGGGGACCCAGGTGGTAGAGCCCGTTCTGCCACTTCCCGGGTGTGGCCACAGATGCGGGCTGTCGTCTCTGCCTGGCAGGGGACGACATGTGGGACATGGGGGACCCAGGTGGTAGAGCCCGTTCTGCCACTTCCCGGGTGTGGCCTCAGGCTACCACGTCAGCTCAGGGCCCACTTCAGTGCAGGGAGGAGGGCCCCGGGCCCCCCCTGGGCCCTCTCTGCTCTGGGCCTTTCTCCCAGGATCCCGCTCACCCGCGCTCAGCCCTCCTCACCAGACACCTGTTGAAACCCCCGAGTCGCACCCTCGTCCTGGCTGCATCTCTGACCCCCACTCTGCTCCCAGGGAGACCCTGCTCAGCAGGTCAAGCTCCCACAGGCAGGGCCCAGCCACAGCTGGGACCCCCTGAGCCTGAGGGTCAAGCGCTTCCCACACAGACGCCGAGATGGGATGCCCCAGAGCCCAGGAAAGGGGTGAGGCAGGCGGAGACAGGAGGAGCACCCGGGGGGTGGGGAGCTCGGCTTGAACCCCCAGGGCCTCTGTCTGGTGTGGCCCAGAGTTTTCCCGGCCTAAGACAACTCTGCCCTGGGCTCCGGCCAGACACTGCAGAGGAGCATCCCAGGAGGAGGCCAGCTGTCAGGGGCTCCCGGCTCTCTGCTCTTGGGGCCTCAGGGATGTCTACCTGAGGAGGGCAGCGGGGACAGGTCGCGGGGGGCCACCGCGCCCCACGGCTGGAGCCCTGGAGGGACACATGCACGCAGGACACCTTCAAGAGCGGGAAGCTTAGATTTTCACTCTACACGATGTTTCCCGGTTTGACATTTTTCCAAGTTGCAGCAGTTTTTAAAAATTAAGAAGAAGAAGAAGAAAAAAGCAAGCAAGCAACGAGTGCAGGTGTTTTGTTGGGTCCCGGGTGCCAGGAAGAGCCCAGGGCCCGGATCTGCCACACTGCACACTGGCCTTTTCTGACTGTAACCTTTTATATTCATCTGTTGAACACTCAGAAATACATCGGTGGAAGCAGGGGGAAAAGACCTCCAACTGTGGCTGAAAAAGGATCTTCGTCACCTCACAAGAACAGGGAGGTGGGGCACCTGCAGGCCCAGACTCCAGCCTGTGCCATCTGCACCTGTCCCTCCCCTCCAGACGGCAGGTGCCACCGGCTAAGCACGAGTCCCAGCCCCTCCACACACACCCCCCCCACCCCGCCACCGCCGTGGGGCAGCCTGGAAAGGGAGCAGATCTGACAGCTGGTTTACAACCAAATGTGCCTCCTCCCTGGGGTGGGCACACTGCTGCTCTGAACAAAATCACTGGGCTGATGGCCCTTGGAGTGACTGCCAGCTGGGTGCCCCTCCTGTTCTCCTCAGTCACCCGTCCTGCACACAGTCTGAGGGGTGGGCCACGAATGGTTCGCAGTCTTCCTGTATCCTATGTGTTATCCGCTCACTCAACCCCTGCCCTCCAGGACTCATCCCTGCCCCCAGGACTCCCCCTTGCCCCCACAACCCTTCTCTCCTCCCCAGGACTCCCCCCCGCCCATCCCCCAGGACCTTGTTCCCTCAGGACTCACTGACCCTAGACTCCTTGACCCCAGACCTTCTCCTGCCTCTCCTCAGGGACTCCAATACCTGCCTTAGGACCTTCTCCTGCCCCCTCTGAGGACTCACCTCCTGCCCTAGAACCTTCCTCAGGATCTCCCCCTTGTCCCCTAGGATCTCTCTCTTTGATCCAGGATCTCTCTCCTTGCTCCCCTGGAGGGACTCACTCTGCCCTAGAACCTTTCCCTTTCTTTCTCCTCAGGATTCTCCCTCTGTCTCCCTAGGATCTTTGACTTAGGACTGTCTCTTCTGGGAGGATCTCATGCTATGCTATATGCTATATACCCAGGCAGGCAGGCAGGCAGGTGGCACAGCAGGCATAGAACATCTATATATCATCATATATGGTATATATAGAAGCTATGGCATATATATATATATACATATATATATATATATATATATATATATAGCAGTAAGAATAATAACACTTCCAATACTTAGCCTGAATAGTCCGCCTGTCCTGCTCGACTTAGTCCGTCAGTTTGTGTAGTGGGGAGGTAGGGGAAGAGGTCGAGGAGAGGTCAGAAGAGGAAGAAGAGGTGAGGAGAGGAGGAGGAGAGGAGGAGAGGAATGATTTTTGGATCCCATTTTTTTTTTTTTTTTCTTTTTGATTTCTTTTGTTCTTTAGGGATTTTTTTGATTTTTTAGATTTTTCTTGTTTTTTTTCTTTTGATTTGATTTATTGTTTTTCTTTTGTTTTTAGACTTTTTTTTGATTTTGTTCTTTAGATTTTTTTTGATTTTAGGGATTTTTTTGTTTTTGATTTACTTTTGTTTCGAATTTTTTTTCTTTCGATTTTTGTCTTTAGGATTTTTTTGACTTTAGGGATTTTTCCTTTTTTTGATGTGGATTTCATTTTTGTTTTAAAGTTTTTTTTTTTTGATTTTTATCTTTAGATTTTTTTTCTGATTTATTCTTTTCTGATTATTTTGTTTTGTTATTTTTTCAGATGAATTTTTTTCAGAATATCTTCTCTCTCTCTTGCACGGAGTAGCACCCCTCTCCCCAGGTACCTGTTTCCTGGGCTTCTCCCTGCTGCAGTAGGACGCCACTCTTTTATGTCTAAAGGCCCAGCGTGCTCCGTCTGCCCCTCTGCCCTGCCCCTCCCCGCTTCCCCCTCCCTCTGTGCTCCCTCCCTTGCAGCCTGTTGGGTCTCAGCAAGCACTCCCATCCAGGCTCTTCTCCTCCTCAGCCAAGCCAGCCTCGAGCCCGTGGGGATTGGGGTTCCAGAATGCTCTGCCCGAGGTTTCACTCTCCTCCCTCTCTGCTCTGCTCCCCTCCCTCTCTCTGCTGCCCCCTCGAGTTTAGGCATTACTGCACAGCCTGGCTGCCATGAGCCATTCTCCCACCTCCAGCCACCACATGGCACGTTCTCCCAAACGTGGAGCCACCTCTAGCCATATAATTGTTCAAGTTGTTGCAGCGATCCCACGCCAGCCTCTCGGGAAGTTCAAGGGCGGATTTTAAAATCTTATGAGAAGCAAACAAAGGTCGCCTGGCTCACCTCATGATCCCACCTGAGAGGGAAGGCCGAGATTGTATACAAATGGTGCAGCCATGCCTCCCCACCCCCGCGGGATCAGCAGTATGGCTACTCCTGCCGGTGTCTGTGCTGTCTCCTCACCCTCCTCCCTCTCACCCAAACTCTGCCCTCCTAGTAGGTGTCTGTTTGGGGTTGAGTCCATCGCATGGAGGAGGAGGTGGGGTTCCCCGCTGCCCCTCATTCCTGGTTGTTCTGCCTCACTTGAGCTCCTCCAGTCCGCTACGCCTCAGGTCGCCTCATGCCACACCACCAAGATGCGCCCCTCCACGCGACATCAGTGGAGCCTGGCCGCGAGCCTCCTGGGTTGCTCAGCAGGCGCCGCGAAGCTGCTCCTCTCGTCAAGAACATTTATCATCAGAGCTAAAGACCCAGCCAGGCGCGTGATTTAGGTTCAGGGTGCCCTAACCTCTGCCTGGGCTGCGGACGGCACTGCGCTTCAGGGTCTACCGTGGCGGTGCTCCTCCATTTGACCGACTGCATGGGAGCTTTCCACCCAAGCATCTTTGGGTAGGGGCACAGCAGCGCCCATCCTGTGTGCTCAAGACCGGCAGGCCGGGTGGTCGCTGGCCCTCTGGCTTCCTGATTTCTGGCTTACATACAGCCAAGGGTTTCTGGTGGGCTCTTTGATCAGGCCTCTGCCAGTTGTAAACACTGGGAGCATGTCTCTTCACCTGCTGTCTGTGGTCTACCCGTGGTGTTCCGTGCTCTACAGGGATTTTATTTTTGTGTAGGCGAACCCATCAAAACCGTGTCTGTGGCTGCGCTCCGGGCATCAATGCTCTGCTCCACTGCGGCTCACAGAGGTGTTTCCGCACTTCCTCCCGCCACCCGTTTTCCCGGTCACTCCGAGGTTTCTGACCCCGGGCCACGCAGGGGGTGTCCTGTACACAGCAATGCTGCTCGGCACCGTCTGGGGCCGGGACCCCGCCAGCCTGGTCTGTAGCTTTTAGGATCCGGCAGGAAGCTGCCTCCCTCGACCCTTGTCCAAAGTTTCACGGTTCAGTGTGGATCTTAAGTTTAATGAGCTTCTCAAATATTCAAGTGACGCTTGGTCTGGGACTGCCGGTTCTGCACACCCTTCCCCCCCCTTCCCCCGCTTCCCCCCTGTACATTTCCTGGGTCTGTTAAAGCACAGAGGCCGGATGTTAGTGGGACTGGGACTGGCTCTGGGCACGTGTCCCCACCTCATCCACACCAGAGGCTGAGGCTTATCTCCTTACTGTCCTGTTTGCCCGAGGCTCTCTGGGTTTCTTTTCCTACCCATGAGGACAAACCTATCCTGTTCGCAGCTACTTTCACCACATGGCTCCCCATGCATGTGTTTATAAACGATTGCTCCTTTTCTTCCACGCCATGGTGAACACATGTGCCGTCTGCCGCTACCCGCGACGCTCTAGCTCCCAGACTAAAAAGCGGTGACCTCGTGGCTCACATGGCCCACTTTTCGGGGCGCGTCTCGTGCCCGGGCAAGAATGCGGTCTCTGCTTCACAGAGGGCTCTCTGTCAGCTGTGTGCTCATGAATGAAGGTCCCGCCGGGTGTGGCCTGCTGCTCCGGAATGACACCTCCACCGTTCTGTGGTTCATCTGACGGGGTTGTATTTGGGTGGATGATGCCTGTGAATAATGCTCCCAGCAGTGGCAGTCAAGTCCCGAATGCTTGTGTCTAGACTGTCTTTCTTCTTACTTCTAGGGCTGTAATCTGAAGACCCTTTCTGGGGCCGCGCCCTCCCGACCCCTTCCCGGAAATTTGCTTCCAGTGGGCAGGCACTCACAGGGACAGGCCACACGATTTATCCTGGTGAAGGTGAGTTGGGAACTAGACGTGACCTTAAACTTCAGGCCAACAACTGGCAGGTCCACAAATGTTGGCAGGGGTCACCTGGTCGCTCGGAGACCTCTGACCTGCTCCCTGGCTCTCAAGAGTGGCCTGTGCAGGCTACTCATCAGGATCTAGAGCAGGACCTTCCAGAAATCTCTGTGACGACGGGAACGGGTCCCCCTAGTGAGACGTGGCTACTGAGCACCTGGAATGTGCCAAGTGCAACTGAGGAACTGAATCTTTTATTTCATTTTAACAAATTTAAGTTTATGTTGAAGCAACCACACGTGATGGCAAGTGGCCCCCATACTGGACAGGGCAGCTCTAGAACCTTGGAGAAGGGACCATGGTGACCATGATTCAGTGCTCTTTCTGCAGAAGGGAAATCTGAGACCCCGAGAGACCCTGGGTGAGTGTTGACGTAAATTTTCTAAGAAACAAGCCAACATGACAGGGAAAGACCGGGAAGTGATGTCAGAATCTGCCAGGAGGTGGGCTCTTTGGAGAAAGTCTTGAACAGAGACTTGGGCGGGTCCGCACTGCCAGCGGCACGGGCAGCCGTGCGTGTGGGAAGCGTCTCCTCTTGCGGGCGGTCCGGGCCCCGAAGAGCTGAGGTTGGGTCGGCAGGGCAAGCCCGGGCAGCGGTCAGCAGGGGCCTGGTGCATGGCTGCGACCATCTAGGAGCCGGGAGGGTTGCAGCACGCAGGGCTGAGGTATCCTGTGCCCGGTTTTGTTTTTTAAATACATGCAATTAGAAAAACTGAGGCATCACCTGGTGTTTAAGACCAAACAGCTTTGGCGGCCAGGCCGGCCACCGAGTGCCCCCACCCTGGGCAGCGCCCCCATACCCACCGGCCCGCCCTTCTCATGAGGGCCAAGACCTCCCGGAGAGGAAGGAGGAGACTGATGTGGCGGGAACACCACAGGTGGGACCATGACCGTCTAACTAGAACACCGCGTGGCGGCATCCCGGAGCGGCGCGGGCGTCACACACGGCGGTTATCACTCAGTGCCTTTTTATTGCCATTGGGTTTGTGACTGTTGAGAGTGACGGCTCGAGGAGCAACGGGCAGATAAAAACCGTGGCTGGGAAGTTCTTGTGAAGAGAGGGCCCGGGCGAGGAGCCGGGAGGACTCAGAACCGGACGAAGGTGGCGTCGATCTGCCGCACGGTGGGCAGGGCCAGCATGATCTTCCGCCTGTACTGGGGGTCCTTCTGCAGGGGGTTCCGCTCCAGGTACACCGTCTCCAGGCTCTTGGCTGCCTTCAGCTCGTCGAGGTCACTCCAGCTCTCGAGGAGATTGTCGTTCATCTGGAGGACACACACACACACACACACACACACACACACACACACACACACACACAAAGTGCGTTAGAAAAGCTTGTAGGACTGAAGGGCCCGAGCCTCCCACCCCCACACCTGGGCACGAGGCCACAGACGCGCTCCCGTCCTCCCCACTCTGAAGACAATGTGACTTGGTATTAAGTCTTCCTGGTGCCCTCATGGAACCCTGTCACCGCTCGGTACCTCCCGGCCACCTTCCAGCAGTGTCCCAAAGGAAATGCTCTTGCTCATGCCCAGGACTTGGGCCACATCACCACGAAAGGGGCTAATCCAAGTTAACATCAGCGGAGAAACGATCAGAGCAACACCGAGGACAACCCCGCCCCATCTCCTGGCAACGTGTCACAGTAGGTTCGGTTTCTGTTTCAGACCCATTCAGTCATCCCCACGGCCTGACGGCACGCCCTGCCTGTGACATGGTCAGCAGGGCAGCAGCCACGCTGACTAAACGTCCATCTGTCCCCGAAGTTGCCTCTGGCTTGTCCCACTGGGATGCCCCTTGCTGGGGTCTGTGACGTAAATGCCCGGCCACCGCTCACCTTGCATGGCTGACATGATGGCCCCAGGATATGAACCTGGAGGAGGGGCTCAGAAGTCTGAGTTACAGGCTCAAAGCAGGTTAGATTTCACCCTCCTGATCCTGCCAAGGCCCACCTGGACAGGACCCGCCAGAGCCAGGGAGAATTCTCTCTTTGAACCACCGTCAAGACGAGGGCATGGTGGGCCTCTGGATTTAGAGTGCCTGTCACAGCACGTGCTTATGACGCTCAGTCCACACCTGTCCTGTGGATGGTGGTGGCTCCTCCGTGGGGGGCGAGACAGGAGGCTCAGAGGGTGAGCCACCCTGGCTTCTGCCAGTTCCCCAAGAATCTGGCAGAGGACCACGTGAACACAGATGGCGGGACAGTCTCTGAAGGCTAGATACAGCCATCTGCCCCGGGGGGTGCGGAGGCGAGGGCGTAGGCCGGGCGGTCCTGCAGGCGCCCTCAGCAACCAGCTCTAAGAGATTTCAAAGAGCCCTGATGGGTAGTGTCCGCCAGATTCTGTGGTGTAAACGCCCCGCCGTGGCCAATCTTACCCTACCCATGCCACGTCCCAGACCGCGGCGCCGGGGTGAGGCACAGCTGGCTCTGACAAGCAGGGCAACCGGACTCCAGCAGGTCATTGGAGGGTTTTGGATGACAGGAACTTTAAAGTTTTATTTTTATTTAAGTGATCTCTGCAGCCCACGTGGGGCTCACACTCGTGACCCCGAGATCAAGAGTCGCATGCTCCACCGACTGAGCCAGCCGGGTGGCCCCGATGACCAAGTTTAAACGAGGCGCAAGCCAGAAAGCCGCTGGGAGCGTAGGCATCACTAACAGGGGGGTGCCACACCAGCCTCACGGCCTGCTGGTCTGACCCCCCCAGTTCCAAGCGCACACAGGCTGAGGGCAGGTGCGCTCCTCCCGAAGGGCAGGGGCAGGTCCGTCCTCTGTGAACCTGCAGCGGGAGCCGGGGTGGGTGGAGGCGACAGCGTGGCCCCTTTCATCTTCACCTCTGCATACAGAGGAGCGACCCACGCGCACGCAATGGGAAGGAGGCGGAGCCTTTCCAGGAACCCACCTGTGGCCCCTCGGCAGGAGCGCCAGGGGAGTTCAAGCGCTGCGAGCCAAGAGCACGTTAGTCGGCATGGAATTCTGGGACACTGCCTTGCCTTCGGGTCCGAAACACTGACACGGCGGCTCAGCATCTGGGCGAATGCGTGAGAACCTCTCACGTACCAGGCTCTGTTCTAGGAGCTGGGGTTCAGCAGCGACATGACATGGGCGTGGCAGTGGGGACTTTGAAGGACTGAGATGGTGGCCCTGGAAGGGTTGTGGACTTGAATCTGGTCACGGTCGTGTGGAGAGTGCTGCACATTAGAAAGTGGTGTTAATGGTGCCGGTCAGGGATGATGGTGGCTTTGTGGCACGGTGTTGACAGCAGAGGTGCAGAGAGGCTGGATTCTGGGTAGAAGGGGGAGGGAAGGCGTCGTCTTGCATGTGATGTGTAAAAGATAAGGAGAAACAAAGGAAGATTCTGAGATTTTTGGCCCGAAGAACTGGGAGGCTGTTGAACAAAATGGAGGAAGGACAGCTTGGGGAGGGAGGCTCACGGGCTCAGGACGTGCTGCTGGGTTTGGGGGTGGGTAGTCAGCCAACGACGTCCTGCGCTGGGCACACAGTTGTTGCTGCAAATCCGGAGCCCAGGACAGACTCGGGCTGGGAATATAAATATGGGTGCTGGGAGCAGACGGGGGTACTTGGACTGGAGAGGCTCATTAGGCAGAGAGAAGGCCTAAGACCGGACCCCGGGCAGGCACTCCAGCGTAGAGTGAGGGGTGCGAAGGACACTGAATCCAGCCACATGTCTGCTGGTGGAGGGAAGCTTCCAACACGCCAGGTGTAGCACAGGCCCCGACTGCTAGACCATCTTGGCTGGTGGGCCACACCGTGGCTGGGGGTGTGTGCCCGTCCTAGGCCACGGGGAGAGCTTGCTGCTGAGTGAGTCCCAGGGTGGAGGGTGGAGGTGAGTGACAGCCAGCCAGACGAGAGGTCTCCTGAGCAGGCTGCCTGCAAAGGAGGG